CTACTGATATGTTTCTGACTGAGCCAAACCATCATATTATGTTACAAAGCAAATAACCATTTTAAAAGGTCAAAGTCATAATGGACATATCCGAGAGAAACCAAGACACTGCCTGCACACGTTAACGCTCATTTATGCAAAACCGTTTTTCCTTTTTCTTGTTGTCCCTCTTTTTTCTCACAAAACTTGTCGGTACTTTATTATTATTATTTTTTGCTATCTGTCCAGCGCACAAATCCAAATGCTGACTGTTACCGTAGCAACGACTTTCCATGTACTTCCTAGCAAGCGTGGTGTTAAACTGACCAGGAGTGCAGCAGGGCTGGAAAGAACAACAGCAATCCACAGTGTGTTTGTGCATGTGGTGGAGGTCTCACCACCAACAGAGAGGGAAAGTGCAGGCCAGGGAGAGGTGGGAGGAAAACAATATCTCCCCCATAATACAGAAACTGTCCTGCCAGGAACATGTCTGTCATGGATTTGTGGAATGGAATATTTCTATCTATTTGTCTTTGTGCACGGCATAACACAAAGGCAAAACATGCCTATCACAATATAGAGTCAACAGTGATCAAATGTCACCTTTTTATCTGACCCAGAGTCCAAAGATATTCATTATATTATGCTTCAATACCACTTTATTATTATGTGAGCCCAAGAAAGACTGCAAATATCCACATCTGAGAACTTTGAATTGATTATCAACCATAAAAGTAACCGATCATTTTCTGTGTTTGTTATAAAATAATAAAAAGTTCTGGTGAGAAAGTGACACCTGACACTTCATCTTGAGCTTTAATGACATACCCACGTCTGCACAGAGAAAGAGCACTGACACCTCAGGTGTGTTAGGGTAAAATGATACGTCTTAAACCCAAGTCGTAATGTTCTTGTCTTTGAGACGTCTCATCCTTTCTGACTCTAGCATCAATCTTAGTTCCTGCTAAATGTCTTGTCGATTGTCTGCTGGCCAGTGAGCAAGAAAGTGAAAAGAAAATAGTTAGAAAGCGACAGCAAACGAAGTGTCTGAGCTTTTTTTCAGTTTCATACAATTTTCTCTGATTTTGTCACAGAGAAATGGATCGAGAACCAGATAATAGCTTTAAAGTTTTTTTTCTAGGACTGTTTTATCGAGCCAACATATTTTATATGGGTTTTCAGTCTCAATATGCTTAACAGTGATACACTTTAAAGGTGGGGTAGGTAAGTTTGAGAAACCGGCTCGAGATACACTTTTTGTTATATTCCATGGAATGCTCTTAACATCCCGATAGCAATGAATATATTAAGTGCTTTGACTAAAAATCCATAAAGAAATGTCATCTGTGGAAGCCGTAGTACTGTGATGTAATGACCAATCATTTTAGCCGGCCCGGCTAAAATAACTGGATGGCCTACCTGCCTGTCAGCCTTCCATCTGTGCACAAACTTATCTCGTGCCCTCATTGGTCATGTGCGCGTTCGTGTGTGTTGGAGGAGGGGCTCTGTAAGGAAGTGGCAGATTTGTTCCGGCTGTGCATTTTCAAATTCTAGCGCACTCGAGCTGGTTTCTCCAAAGTTACCTACCCCACCTTTAAGGTTCTGTGAAAGACACCCATTGCATAGTATTTATTTGCACATGACACGGATTGGCCATGAAACTGAAGAAAGGCAGTGTAATTTAACCGAGGGAACATGCGCACTCACAAAACCCGTAACAGGAAAATGAATGGACAAAGTGATTACAGGTGCAGAAAGGACCATGTCTACCCATGTTTCTGCTGTGACCATGTATTCTGCCAGCTTCTATCAAACCTCTTCACCAAGTCTCCCCTTCACTGTGTGACTCCACTACCTCAAAATGTTTTACTTTCCCCACTCCCCTGCCCCACTGAGGGGGGCCCACTTCCTGAAAAGTCCCTCCAACAAATCTTCAAGGTTGTTATTGCCTTGGCTTCTCTTACTTGGGTTCCCTCTGTCCAAAAGCTGTCTGCTCTCCATCCCTCCCTCATTCTTTCTCTCCTGCCTTTCTTTGAAAATAAAACTTATGAGAAGAAATGTGCTGATCTCAGCAGTCTCGCTGAAACAAACGGACTTTTACAGCTGTGACAGAGTCAAAGAATTAGGAGAAGCGATTCATCTTTCATCTTTTTAGTTACGATTGTTCACTTGGTGATTCATGTTTCCATGCTGATCAGTCTGTTTTCCCCTCTGCTTTCGTGGTTGTAATTACACGGCACTGATTGCCAAAGATCCTTGACAGCCACATGGACAAATGACAAACAAGTTGAAATATGTTATATTAGCATGCAGTGTCAATACTGAGTCTGCATATCTGTTGTGGAACCAGGGAAATGGAAACATCTTACATTTTCCACACTATCAAGGTATCAATTGAGAAACAGAGGCAGGTTTCAATGTGCCAGTCTCAACAGGAGTTTGCTTATGGTCGTCAAAGTACAAGTTTAAAATGTCCCAATAGCAGCTCCTACATTTGATATGCACTGATGCTTTTTGGCTTAATCTGCCAAACTTTTGTTCCCATCCTTTCATAAGTCATACAAAAAATAAAAAAGGAACAAGAGACCTCTAAGCATTTCCCTGAGCCTCAGCCAGGCCAATCCGAACCCACCAGGCACTGGGATTTCTTGCCATAGGTCACAAACCCAGAGCTGAACACACACACACACACACACACACACACACACACACACACACACACACACACACACACACACACACACACACACACACACACACACACACACACACACACACACACACACACACACACACACACACACACACACCACACACACACACACACACACACACACACACACACACACACACACACACACACACACACACACACACACACACACACACACACACACACACACACATTTAGGATTTAACTGATTGGCCCTGTCGCTGCAGTGCATTTGTAGAAGTAGTGCCTGAGTGCTGCTCACATATGGGCAGGGCAAGCCTAAGTGAAAACACATGTTTGTGTAAATGCAGAAAGCAGAAGTGGAGCGGCCTCGTCCCGCTGATAGAGGCCATGTGAAACCAAAGCCCATCAGATCTTTGTGTTCCAGGAGAGACAGAGCGAACGGAAATACATCCTGTTTTCCAATTTAACATGGAATAACCAAACAATGAATCTGATTTAGAAAAAAAAAGTGTATCAAATGACTATTGAGAAATATCCAACCAACTGTGACAAGGAGTTATGAAAACAAACACAGGAAGATGTGAATGTCCTGTAAAGTTCCTGCTTGAATATAATTTCACAATATTATCAATATCTACAGGGTTAAGAGGGTTAAAAAAAAAAGCCTAATCTTAGAATCACACTTTAAAACTAATGTAACCTCATTACTTCTCTTTATTTTTGGATTACCTCAATACAAAATGAAATGCCAAAAGAAAACAACAATGTAACATTTGAAAAGAAGAGAGGTCATAATGATGAACTGGAAATGTAGCAATGGTTTCACTCGAGCCTCAATTCATTTTATGTTGTGAGACTTGTGAAGTGCTTTTTTTGTCTAATCTAAATCTGATTTTTCTAATCTAAAACAAAAGGCTTTCAGAAAATCTCCCAAACATCTTTCTTGATTCATAAATCTTTAACTATTTCTGTGCATTTCCTGTTCTTCAGAGCCACTGCATTGTCCGTTTCCAGATTCTTAACTTCTGAAGGCTCACCCCCTCTGACCTTTCCTTGCCCTCTGTGACCTAACTCAACATCTGGAGCGAATTCAGCTAGCCATGTTCCTCCCTCAGGACACACAAATTCATTATCAGACATACCCTAAACATGCAAGGAAGGCAGAAGAACAGGACGGAAACTTGCATAACATATACTAATCAAATCTGAAACTGGCAAAGCAGCAAGAGAACAAGTCCGGGGTGAGGAGAATCTGTTCAGGGATGACTCACGTCACTTATCTGCAATCTGTTCGCTGATGGGTTTAGTATTTTTAACTCTTGTGTTTGGAAGTTGACATACTCTAAGAATGCTTTGTCTGAGTCTCTGAAAAAGACTTGTGTTTTTAGGCTGAATGGCAAGGCCTTATGTTCTCTACACATAGAATATCATTGACTTGATGTTAACTAAAAAAAAAGCTCACATAATAAGAAAATAGTTAGAGAATTTGGGTAATACTCTTGCTCTTTTTCTGCTAAGCGTTACATGAGAAAATAAGTATGCATTTACAGGCAGCAGCGTTAGCTTAAATCCAGACTGAAAATGGCTAAACAGTAAGTTTTGCTCTGTTGAAGATCTTCTGAAAATCTGGCATTATAGATGCTCATAGGCTGATTTTGTTATCTTTTTGCCAGAGCCCGTCAAGCTGTTTCCCTCCATTTCCAGTCCCCTATGCTAAGCTAAGCTAATCCTCTGTTGATATAGCTTCAAATTCCCTGCGCACATACTGTAAGTGTGCCGTTGATCTTCTTATCCAACTCTCTGCAAGAAAGCTAATCAGTATATTTCCAAACTGTAAAAATCACTAGTTGAAGAACTGTAAATGTAAAATGCTGCTGATTTCCTTTGTCCTGGGGTTTTGGACTGAGGATCAGACAAAGCAATTCATTTAAATACGTCAACTGGGGCTTAGGGAAGTTGTGATGGGCTTTTTTCATAAATAACTATTGTTAGGCACTTCGCAGTTGTTTGATCAAATAATCATGAAAATAACATACAGAACTATCTGTTATAAAAGGATTGTTAGCTGCAGCTCTAAACAACTGGTCATATTCTGTTCTGACAGATACAAGTTTGAGCCGGAAAACATCCTTTGGTTTCTTGCGACCAACCAGGAGTTTTGCAGCTAGGAATAACAAGATACATATTAGGCAAAAAGGGAGACCTATACATATTACAACTGTTGATCAATACTCCACCTGTATGTCCCCCCTTAGAAACCAAACACCATTAAAAGAGTAACACAAGTATAAAAGATAACTAAATTAGACTGTTTTTACTGTTCTCTCCTGTCAGGCCAGCTTACCTTCTTCGCAGCCTTGGAAGGCGACCTCCTGGTGGGCTTCTGCACCTGGCTGCTCGGAGTGACCGGCTGCTTGGACACCGAGCCGTTCTCCCGCTTCTTGCTTGGGGAGGATGGGACAGAGGATGGGACAGAGGATGGGGGTGGCGAGGGGGAGGCTGGGGGAGAGGAGGAGGACGGAGGTGAAACCCTGACGATGGCCATCTCTTCTGTGGGTGTGAGGCGGAGGCTGCGCAGACTTTCATGTGTCTCTTGGTCCACCACCAGCAACCTGGTCTCACTTTCCACTGCTTTGATCCGCTGTACCACCTGAGGGACGGGAGAGGACGGTTGTTCACTGCTCATTTTGTTTCTTAATAGAAGGTTTAACTCCCAAGCTTGGCAGCAGTGAAACACTAAAGACTGCAGCTATAGGAAAATAACCCAATCGCATCAAATGATATTTGGTTAACCAGCTCCGTTAGAAGCATCCAGTCAGCGCAAAGACATCTTTCGAAATGATTTAACACATTCACACTTTTCTCAGACATGTGGGTGTACAGAGCCTTTCACAGTGGTGATAGAAATATGTAAACATTGACCAAAATATCAGACACTATGAACCATAAGATGGCAACTAATCGTAATATTTCAGGAAAAAAGCCAACAATTTGATGATTTTGCCAATATTTTGTACTTTATCTTTGTCTTGATATTTAAGAAAAGACCATCTGATTAATTTAGTGCAAACATTTGCTCTGAATCAATCCTTCGTGTCATTGATGTAGATACATACTGGGCTCTCCAACCCTTAAATGTGGGCAAACATCATTAGATGACAAAACAAGCAACTTTGCAATTCTTTGTGCAAAGCATACATTTAAAGCCCCATGGATGCAGAAATGTTATGAGAGCTTCAAACACAACAGTCAACAGTTTGTTTTTATCTCTGTTGTAACAAGGTTACAGATAAACCTAATGTTCCTCTGTGAGCCTGGGAAAATGATTATCTGAGGCTGCTGTCTCTTTCTGACAACCAGTGCGAAAACAGTCTCTCAGCTCTAAGTCCTTTGACAGTGCATACCTGCTTCCAAACAAAGGGATGGTGCAGGTTAGTCACATGTTTCGGTCAGGTCTAATTAGAAGCTAAATGAAAAGTTATGTATCGCAGTAGGAGGAGGGTAATGCATGCAAAACCGGTGTGACCTTTTGATAGTCAACTACATTCCTCCTGTAACATGAGGTAAAACCACATATATCATATGAATGCACATCTACTTGCCTGGTGATGTGTCTCTTTCTCCACGTTCACCCCATTCACCGACACCACCCGGTCCCCCGCGCGCAGCCCGGTCGCTTCTGCGGGGGACCCAGTCTCCACTTTGCGGATGTACTGTCCGCTCTTCCCTTTCTCGCCATGCAAGTGAAATCCATACCCGTCCTCCGATTTTGCCATGACACAAAGCCGTGGTTTCCGTTCGCTGGCCATTTTTCCACTGACGTTTTTAAAACCTCCTGCAGTTTTTAGTTAAAGTATTATTACAAGTTAAGATGCAAAGAGAAGAGTTTAGGAGAGCTGTTGCAGGGCTAACTTCCACGGAGCGAAAACATATCTGCACGATACGCACGCTTTCCATGTAATAAAAACACTCAATACAAGCAGCTCCAAATGCACTTCACAAGAAGAAATCCCAGGGATAAAAATACCAACAAAACAGGCATCAAACTTCAATAAAACGATGGAGCCAGTCCTCCAGATCGTGTGTCCTGTGTCCAGCTGAGGCGCACTGCTGGCGACTCCAAAACTGATCCGCTGCAGCGCGCACAGACTTCAGAGCCTCCAAGACAGCATCATTGATGTGACTGCAGACGTGTTGGAGTCGAAATAATCAGCAGGGCCTCACCTCTCCCTCCACATTTATCCATAACAACTGATCGGAGAATATGCATGCAGTTATGCTGTAGTTTGCGCAGGTTGAGCGCCGTGTGCGCAATAGCACCACCTCCCTCTGGCCAGGCTACCTGTTTGTCTCTCAGGAAAGTGAAATATTCGGAGCACAGTGAGAGGATTCAGAGTTATACAATACTGCCCCTAGGTGGTGGGTTGTAAACAAATGGTTAAGTAAATATAAAGCACTGCATGCTGCATTGGGTTTAAGAAATATACATAAAATATACATCTTCTCAGCTCAACAAACAAGATTCAACATGTGTTTTTATTAACATATAATTCAATAAGAGCATGCAAACCACAAGATGACTGACTGACTGTAGTTCTCCATTCATAATTTAGACCAGGTTCTTGCCTAAATTGTTAATTTAATCTATAACCATTTAACCCCAACCCTAGGGAAAAAATGCCCCAAATGACTAACCCAAAGCGAATCACAGATCTTCAACCATAAGGCACCGTAAATGCATATTTTTGGTGACCATTAAAGAGTAGAAATATGAATCCTTAGTAAGTAAACCAATTTCTGTTTTGATTATTTGTTTAGTCTACTATATAATCAACATTTTAAAGGCAATATTACCACTACTTAACTACAAAACACTATTAATTTTCATTTATCTATGCTATAAATAAAAAAATCTCCACAACATTAAAATAATAATAAAAACAACGAATCTATACAGTAGTTATACATGACTGTAGCTCATAGTTTGGATGGATTCTCAAAGCTAAAGGGCCAACATTATCTTCCATAAATAAAACATCTTATATTGCAACTTTTTGTATCTGTTTTGTATTCTTATAGTTATTACAATACTTTTGTTACTCTTATTTGTAATGTTGACTTAAAAATCTGCTGAACTATTGCTGTTCATACATTTTTGGTAATATAATAAATATAAACTAATGTTAAAGGGGCCCTATTATGCTTTTTGGGAAGTGTGTATAGGTTTTTGGGTATGTCTGCAAAGGTTAAAAACGCCAATCACAACGTAGCCGGCGAGCTAACCAATCAGAGCACACTGGGCTCTAGTTCCAGACAGAGGGTGAAAAGAGGTGCTGCAGCACAGGCTGTATGAGACAATTTCTTTTGGAACATTAAAGCATGCAAACCTGTCACTGTAGTCACATGAGTATGATATATCCTTTTTAAACCAATGCTTTATTATTGCAGTTTCTAACAGTGACCACTGGAGGTCAATGAACACTCATGATTCAAAAGGTGTTTCAACTACACAACACATTTCTGGTCAAACCTTTTAAATCAAGTTATTGTGTCCACTGAAATTAAATAAGGATAGACAAAACTTGAACAAAATCATATTTTTTCTTGGAATGCATGATGGGGAGATATCGCTTCATTGCAATATGATATAATTAATACAGACATTATTGACATCATCAATGATACTAACATGACTACCTAGTTACTATTAGGAAGAAGAGCTTTGCTGCAACGAACAACAAACAGCCGATCTCCGGTATTTCCATCATGCTATCCTACAGATCTTCCTGTCCTCAGCAATGGCTCCATTTGCTCATAGCATTTTCCTTTATTAGATCATTTGGAGAAAACACAATCAGATTATTGTTTGTCTGCTATGGGATCTGGATTCACTTGCAACTTTTTTATGATGTCCACGCGCTGATAGATGGTCTATTATCTTGATGACCATTTTAATGAATACATCAGGGTTCAACTCAATCAGGCCAGGAAGGACCATCATTTTAATGGAGGGGACTTAAGTTAATTAATTCATCACAACACAGTTACAGCAACAGTATTGTCTTGAGGAACGAACACATTCCTCATGCTTTATACTGTTGAAAATGGGACAAACCTGCTGATCATTTTGTTTAGTCCCTAAATGATCCAGGGGGAACAGAGCTGCAGAGATTCAACATGTATTGGCAATCTTTGATCACTGATTTAAGGGTTATTAGGGCATTTACCACAAAATAGTGGCTCCTGATTCTTAAATTTGACAGTTTGCAGATTTTCTTAATGTTCTATATTTATTGAGTCAGACAAAACAAGCAATGCAAACACCTCACTTTGTGCCATGGAGAAATTGGCGAAAGGCATGAAATCAGAGGTTTGATATTTTTCTTTTCATGGATTTTGCCTTGTGTATTTTGTTTTCGAGTGTACGAAAGGAGATTAAAAGTGTACTGGCATTCGGAGCACAAGGTTTGTATCAGTTACCAAAAATGTACATGAAATTATGTGGTGTGTGCTCTCTCTGACAACACACACTAGTCTGCAAATTAATAAGAAAACAAAACGTCAGCTACAGTGAGCATCACATTAATATTCGTCATCTGTCAGCATACACACATACACACACTCATACACACATTTTAACAGCACAGGAGAGGTATTTGGCTCAGTTGCCTTGTGTCTAGATTAAAGAAGACAGTTGCTGGCATCAGAGGAGAACCTCAGGGCAAAGTCCAAGTTTAGTCTTCAATGTAATGTCACATGAGTCACAAACACACAGGACACACACAACAACCACCACAGACAATATTATGTACTGTACAAGCTCCAGGTTTTCTTAAGCCATATGACAGAAACGAAGGTCGGTTAATTTAAGTGTGTTTTAATCTTTTAGCCAGTGAAATCTGGCTTATAAAACATCTGCCATATGCTGTCATTTTCAAAATAAGTCTTTAGAGGATGTGATGACTCGAAACAAGGCATATCACCTTACATTGCTATTGTTTGTTTCAACATGTAGAAGTGAAATGATTCAATGTATCATCCACAACAATGGTGTCTTTCCATCTGTCTGCATAAACAAACACATGATTTGGATGTAAATGTAACCAACACATTGATCCACTCCCCTGCTGCGCTTTTCCTCCTGCTTCAGTTTTAAAGAGTCACCTAAATATCAAATAACCTTTTGAGAAATAAACCTAAGAGAGGGAAATGCCACTCTGAAGTCACAAAGTAGGTTTCTGTGACTATTATATTCCTGCTATTATATCAAGATTGTAGCACTGCATGCAGTCTTCTTCAGATACATTTACTTTGACACTTTCCAAATAATAATATCTAAACAGTGAGAGTGGTCAAGTGATAAGGATTGAGAAGGAAAGCATGAGCAATTTGGTTTTCGGTTTGTTTTGACACTGAGTGGGAACATGCATTTATCTTGGGCTTGGTTTACTGCAGGGAACTTTTTAAAAACATAATTGAAATGCCCTCCCCATGTCAAAGGCAGGAAAAAGATCACAGCTCTCAGCTTTAATTAACTGCACGGAGTCTCCCCCTCTCCCTTTTGCAGCCAAAACACCCAGCGAGCTTCAAGAGAAAGTGTTCTTGGCTTTTATTTTAAATGTTAAACTAGTTTCAGGTTGGGCTGTGATTGGCTTCTTGTTTTGCTGCAATGCAACACAGATTTAAAAAAAGCAGCAATGATGCACAATTATAATGTACAATTATTCACCTCCACTTAAATAAATGCTTGAATTCCTTTCCGCTCTATCACCACACACTGACATGTTGTTTATTTAAACAAACAAGATACTCACCTTCTTCCTCCTCTCCCTGAATTGTCAACAAACACATCTTGTGTGTCCATAAAGCCATGTGTGGTCAGTTTGATGGCGTCTGATTTGTGTCTTCCCAGAAAACAATAAATCCCTGGAATTCCTGTTTACATTGAAATACTGTACAAACTGTGATAACTACAGTATCTATCTATCTGCGAGCGACAGTAGGCATTTGCTAGCATATCGACCTTAGAAAGTCCTCAGGCCTTAATTGTTTATTCTAGTACAACAAGGTTTTTCCTTTGTTTAAAGCTCCCATGTCATGCTTTTCCGGTTATTACCCGTCCCCTTGTGTGTTATGAAGGTTTTTATGCATGTAAACGGTGTGCAGAGTCAAAACCCTCAAAGTACACCCTGTAGCGAGTAAAACTCTAACACAGAAAATACCTCCCCAAAACGCCTCGTTGGAGATACGTCACTGCCCATTTGAGTCTTCCATTTAGTTCCGGGTACGGCCTGATGTCATGCGGTACCCGGAACGAAATGGACCAATCCCGAAGAGCTATGGCCACACCCAGCGGCGCTGGCCGCACCCTCTGCCAGCCTAACATTTACTGTTGGAAGCTCTGGTTCAGTTCACAACCGATCCAGTCATGCCACTGCCAAGGACCTGTTTCCTGAAATGTGAGGAGAAATCTGAGCTGTTTGTCCTACCGACGGAAGAACCACGACGAAGTCAGTGGTTGAAATGTCTTTTTAACACTGTTCCTTCAGAGGTTCGAAGAACCGGCATTTCACAGACGAAAGCTTCCAAAACATTGCCCAGTTTGAGGCCGGATATGCACAGCTTGTTTGGACCGTTTGGAGCAGGGGAAGATTCGGGTACACAACCTGTAAGTTTGCATTGTTATTTGTGTATTTATCAAACAAGACTGTTTAAATGTGTAAACTGTGTTGGACTGCTAAGCCATTGACACAGTGCTAACTGTGCTAACTAAGTTGCTAGCGTTTCCATATATCAACTCTAATATCAGCAGATGGCCTTGCATACATGTATCTCATAGCAGGAGAATGTCTGCATTCACACACAAAATACCTATTGACAGTATACTCCGGGTGATTTGCCGTGCGGTCAGTCGCGAAACGTAATTACATTATAGCTGGCGTAGCGTGTATGCTACCGATCTAACCGACGGAGCTAGACCTGGGTCGGAAAAACATTTTTGTTATGCTACGTTGCTAGCGTTTAAATATATCAACTACAATGTCAGCAGATGGCCTTACATGTTTGTCATGGCAGGAGAATGTCTGCAGTCACACACACGGAATACTCATACAGTATACTCCGGGTGATTTACCGTACATTGTGACAGTACATGCAGGGTTCGAGTTATAAACTGAGCTCTATGGGGTTCTTTGAAACTAACGCGTGCGCACGCATGCACGCGCACACACACTCAATCACACACACACACACACACACACACACACACACACACACACACACACACACACACACACACACACACACCAATAATAAACATGGACAGGGGTTACTATTTAAAAAAAAATTGCAAATGTATTTGGGAACCTATCCATGTGAACA